AGTCTAGAGTTGTTAAGTCTGGATAAGTTAAGTCTGAGATATGCAAATGCAGCAAAAACAACCGATGGCCATGCATATATAAGTGACTATTAGAGCCCAGAACGAAAACAGAAACAGAAATTGATCAATTTTTTTTTCAAATTATTCAAAAATTATTCCATGCAGTCTTTTTACATAAAAGAATCAAAATAATGAATATCTGTGATGGGACAGTTTGAACTTTTCAGTTTTAGATAACAATTTTTCAGTTTTGTCATATACCCTAGACCTGTCCGAAAAACAGGTCACTATTTTTTAAATATCTGAATTTTCCAATTAGAGGTTTAGTAACCATACACAAAAAATTGTATACTTTTGTTCTCACGCTGTGCAAAAGTCTATTGTTCACCATACGTGGCATCTTTCAATGGACAGATTTATCTGCAGTTTCAATGCCGTTCAATTGATTGCTGTTCTCTTATGAGAAAATTTTAGTTTTTGTGTTTTGGTGCGAAACACAAATAAAAAGACAAACACATAAAAGTTATCGGAAAAATTCTTGTCAAAGAAAAAACTAAAGGGTTTTCTAGGAAAGAAAAACAACAGGGTTCACACGTGAGTTCAAGTCTGAACAAATACTATGAGTATCTTAACACAATTCAAATTGCATCTTGCAAGTTTGATAAGATGAAACCCCTTTTTGAAACCCATTTTGAAACCCATTTTTGCAATTTTTCAACTGAAACCCATTTTTGAACATTAAAAGATTACTTAAATTTGAACCTAGTAAGCTCCCAAAGTGTTTTCGGCGCATTACGAGGCAAAACTGTGCATTTTGTGCATTGTAAGCGGATTTCGCAACAAAAACGCTCCCTTTGTTCTTCTTTTGATCTTTCCTTCTCTTTGATCATTCCGACAAAATTTTAACATGTATAAAGACTTGTCTCTGGAATCCAGGAGCATACAGACCCAAAATTGTGCTCCTATCCAGTGCACAGTTTGGCCTTGTAATGAGAGTCGAATAATGGATAGTTATAACTAAACTACTCGAATCAAAAATTTTGTGGTTGAACTTTTGTTGACAGTGGTAGTTATTGCTCCGACATTCGAAACGAAAGTAACCGAATATTTGTGCTCGGGGAGGGTTTTTTTTCTTATGACTATTTTCGATTTTTTAACTAGCCGTTTTTGACGGAAAGTTTTTATATCATTCGAAAGTCATTGTTTTCCTGAGCTTAAATTATAAAACGTGTTTCACCTGTGATCATTTTTTGTAAAGTTAAGGGGGTTTAAAGATTACCATTTTAACCAATTTGGGACATTTAACGCGCGACATATTTCGCGCTATTAACCCATAAGCGGAAATCTAATCCGTCTTAGAAATCGTTACGAATTGGTTGAAGGAAGCTGATTTGATATAATCGATTTGTTACTAAGAGCGAAATCTATCACTTTTTTTAGATGCCGTATGGGAAATGATTTTTTAAAAAAAAACCTCAAAGAAAAAAAATTCATTTTTATTTCAAAAACTCAATGTTTTTATGTGATTACTGCTCCATAGAAATAAAAGCTGTCGGAACATGCAGGGCTTCACTCTGATACGAGCAGTCTTGTTTATTATGTGACACGTGTTTTCTATTCGCTTCAAACGATAACATTTTTTGGATGTGTTACACAATCAATGTTGTTTCATCACGGCGCAGTAATCGTAAATACTCTTATAAACAAATATTTTAGTTTACATTCTGACTCCTAAATAACAGACTTTAATTCTAATTATGAAAACATCTTGGCAAATTCAGGAGTGAGAGTTTTGAAGTAGACAAATTAAGTCTTGAAGAGTCCATTGAAGAGTTTCTTTTTTTCTTTTTGAGAGTTTCGATGACTTCAATGACTTCAATTATAACTTTTTTTCAAAAACAATGATTGCTGCTGACGAAAAAAATAACAATTTTTCATGCAAGTTTGTTTAGTTTGTGCAATTATGGCTCCAATATTTCCGAAGTATTCGTATAAACGCTCAGCGTCCTCCTTAAACACATTAAATGACTTCGAATTTTCCCTTCACTTCTCATTTCAATGAAAGTTTTGGAAAAATTTTTGATCTAGAATTAGTCTCAAGCGTTAAATCTTTTTGACAGTATTTTCGCTTTCAAGGATGATAAGGTTTTTGACACAAAGTTTGGGACCTATATACCCAGTTGTTTTAGCATTCAAAAGTTCATGTAGTTACGTTATTTTTTAGCTGCTGCATTTCTCACTTCATTGTCAGTCCATGAATGCCTTTCTGTTTGTTCTGTTAATCACTTTGGAAAAAAATTATCAATTGCCGTCATAAAGATCAAAATTATATTTTAATATTTTCTAAAATCCCAGAAGACGTTTGCGGGGCTGTAGGATTCCATAACTGCGTACATTTGTTAGTCTCAAGTTGCAAAAAAGACTTAATTTCTCACTTATTTCCCTTTTTTCAAAGGTTCTCTTTAAGTTTCTACCAAAAAAATTTTTCAGTATAAACATCCTTTTTCAGATCATTTGAGAAAAATTGAACGCCAAATTGATCAGACAACTGATCAGACAAAAAAAACTTGATATACAAAAAAATCAAAAATTAGCAATGTGCTAATAAGTTCTGTCACTCTTGTAGAACGGAATCCCATTTTGTTCTCTAACATGCTATTCCCCATCATAAACTGCTACATTTTCATTCACTTTGTCGAATTTTACATTGAAAACATCACAATTTATGTGTTCAGTTTCATAAACATTTCTTTTAAAAGTTGTTGGGAGAATTAAAAAAAAACAATTTCGACTCTGGTGAGAAAACTCTCATGTCGAATTCGAATGTAAGATAGGTATCTAAAAAATGCAGATATAAGAGATTGTCAGAAGAGTATGTTCGTTTATCATCTGCTTCTCAATTGGACAACCATTTTTACTCCTGCTAAAATACCTTGTGGTAATTATCCGCATTAGAGTTTCAGTGAAAAATTCTTTTTAATTGGTTTAATTTTATTTTTAAACAGTTAACTTATATAATCAGTTTTCACAGTCGATTTTTAGCATTATTTTTAGATAAATTGCATTGTTAAAAATGCTTTGCCACCATTTTTTCCAAAATCAAAAATGATAATCGACTGCAACTTAAGCTGTTGCAAATTTTGGCTAAGAACTTTGCGTTGAGTTATTTTTTAAATATTCCGAAGACATCGTAGTACGGAAAACCCAAAAAAAAAATTCAGAAAAAAGGGTAATGTTTTCAATTATATATGTTGATGGTTTTTGTACAGTCATTTGTACGTTCGTTAATCATGCGCCTCCCTACCCCCATCCCAAAATCATGTTGAAAGAGAAAATAATCTTTAACAAAACCACGTCCAGGTTCAGTCATAGGATACTTATCTCAGACAACGAGAATTCTTGACGTCTAAAGGAGCCTCTACTTTTTCAATACTCCCATTTCTCGGTTTTGTGCACTTTTGTCCTCTTCTCTAAATTTCTATTTTCAAACTTCATCCTAAACAGAACTTATTAAAAAGAGTAATCTTTTCATTTAGAAACAGTTTATTGCAGGTAATTTTGAGGTTGTTTTTGGGACCTAAATTTTCTTTGAAAAAATGGCTTTGGTATGCAAAAACGCTCCCAATAAATAGGTCATTTTTTTCAGCTAAATATTTTTGTTGGACCCATTTTTTTGCTACTAAATATATTATATTGAAAACAGAAAAAATACACCAAAAGATTAGAGTGGCTAAATGCGCGAGTTCAGGTTGTAACGTTTGATGTGCACTTCAATTCATACTTTTGAGTTTGTTGACTAGTAAGTTTCACTGCATTATGGCAAAGTTTGAATGATTAAAAAAAATCGAACTTCGACAAAAGGGGGGTCCACCTCAATTCAAAAACTGCTTATCAAACAACTCCATTCAAAAAAATGCTATAATACGATTCCTCTTTCTGATAATTGTATGATACGCTTTTTTTTCACAAAGATTTTTATCAGAAATTTTCTGAAGACGGGTTTTAAGCAAGGTCAAAAGGGCAAGAGGTTTTTTGGTCAAAAGTTTTGCATTTATCAATATTTTTGATATGCTTTTTTCCATGCAAAATTTCGAAACTACAAAAAAAAATCTTTACAAAATTTTTTGTCTGGAAAACATTGTAAGCGAATTTCGCAACAAGAACGCTCCTTTTGTTCTTCTTTTGATCTTTCCTTCTCTATGATCGTTCCGTCAAAATTTTAACATGTTTAAAGACTTGTCTCTGGAATCCAGGAGCATACAGACACAAAATTGTGCTCCTATCCAGTGCACAGTTTGGCCTGGTAATGTGAGTCGAATAATGGATAGTTTTAACTAAACTACTCGAATCAAAATTTTTTTAGTTGAACTTTTGTTGATAGTGGTAGTTATTGCTCCGACATTCGTAACGAAATTAACGGAATATTTGTGCTCGGGGAGGGTTTTTTCTTATGACTATTTTCGACTTTTTAACTAGCCATTGTTGACGGAAAGTTTTTATATCATACAAAAGCCATTTTTTTCCTGAGCTTAAATTATAAAACATGTTTCACCTGTGATAAATTTCCTTAAACTTAAGGGGGTTTTAAGATTGCCATTTTAGCCAATTTGGGACAATTAACGCGCGATATATTTCCATTTCGCGCTATTAACGCATAAGTGGAAATTCAATCCGTCTTAGAAATTGTTTCGAATTGGTTGAAGGAAGCTTATTTGCTATAATCGATTTGTTTTTGAGAGCCAAATCTATCACTTTGTTTTTAGATGCCGTATGGGAAATGATTTTTACAAAAAAAACTCAATGTAAATTCAATGTTTTATGTTATCACTGCTCCATAGACCTTAAAAGCTGTCGGAACATTCAGGGCTTTGCTCTGATAGGAGCAGTCTTCTTTATTATTAGGTGACGCGTGTTTTCTATTCGCTTCAAACGAAAACAATTTTTGGATGTGTTACACAATCGGTGTTGTTTCATCACGGCGCAGTAATAGCAATTACTCATAAAAACAAGTATTAATTTACATTCTCGTGAAGTAGATTTTAATTCTAATTATGAAAACATCCAGGCAATTTCAGGTATGAGGAGTGAGAATTTTTGTAGTAGACAAATTAAGTCTTGAATAGTCCCTTGTTCTTCCGTCAAAAAATATTTTCAAGTCCAAATTAGAAGTCTTATTTACAGTTTGGTATCTATTTCTTGGTAATTTTAGGAATCAGCGGCTCTTCTTCTTAGGACTAAACTTAGTGGCCAGTAGTAATAGATACAGCCCATGCCCAGGCATAATGAGGCGATCATTAGAGTCCAGAACGAAAACGCAAACACCAGAGGGTCGCAATAATGCTCGGAACCTTCTGTATATGACACATCACTACATGTTCGGAACACCCAGACACTTCCTGAAACACAAACTTCAGTGGTAGGTATTTGGGCACATCTAACTCCGAGAAGGGGGGGGGGTGGGGGGGGGGGGGGGGGGGGGAGGTTGAGGGAACATGGCGCGGGTTGGCTTAGCCGCAAAATTCTAACTTTCGTTTTTTTCTCAAAATCTTGCTCCAAATACCTACTACTGATTTCGGTGCTGTGGTACTTTGTTATTAAAAAAAATTATGTAGTTTAATAGCTGATTTGATAAATAAAAGTAAAAGATCTCTCTAGCTATGTCCATATCCACAATTACAAACTTGGCATTTTTTATGTAGTAACAAAAGAGCTATTTGATATAAAAGCGACGAGTTTCTCCAGCTGATGTTTTAAAAAATTCAAAAATGCGTGAAACTACTTGAATTAATTCTTTAAAATCTTAAACATCAATATATTATACTTTTTGGAAGAAATATTCTAGATTGTAAAAATGTGACCTGCAATGAACCATGCGAAGAAGAAGAGATATAAAATCCACTTAAGTGTGTTTTTGATCGCATTCTTGCCGTCTTGGTTATTCGTTTTGTTGTACAGCTAAAACACAGTTATCGTTTTTGGACTTTTTGAGAAAACTCAAAATGTGAAATTTTTTTTTCCAAAAAAGTATATTTAAGTAGTGAGAAAACTTAAATAATTAACTTTTCAAAAAAATGTGCTTAAGTAGTTCCAATTGTTTACAAAAAAATAGACTTGTTTGCGTTTTGAAAGTTTTAAAATGAACAGTCTGTAAAAGGAATTTCAAATTTTTAATAAACAAAATAGGCTTGATTTTTGGATATTCTGCAGAAACTTTGAGAAATACATTTTAAAAATGAACAGTATGTATGATCAGTTTCAATAGTTTATCAACTAAAACAGGCTCGCATACCAAAAAAAAACAAAACTTGAAGAAGAACCTGCCGTCCCAAATAGTGAAGATTATGGGGAAGACAGAAACAACCGGTAATCAGGAGCCACTTCGGGATGAACTTCTCTACGGGACAGTCGTCAAGTTTAATTGCTCCTAGTGGCGAAGTCAGGTGTAAAACATTTAGATTCAAACATAAATGCTTTTCGAACAAAGTCCAAAAAAACTTTAACTGGTCTAATAATATAAAAGTTCGTTTTTTGTTCTGTAAACTCTTGCATAAAACCAATTTTATTTGAACAATTTCATTTTCTTCTTCCAAATTAGTTGTGCCAGATGTTTTTTTCTTCAACTTTTGACTTTTTTCTTTGAAGATAATTTTTAGATAAGATCTTAGATTTTAATTTAAAAAAAATCTGTTCAGATCATAAGCAGCGTTGCAACTTCTTGATTCGTTACGAGGCCAAACTGTGCATTTTGTGCATTGTAAGCGGATTCCGCAACAAGCCAAAATTAGATTTGTCGCGGAATCCACAAGATTGCTACTTTTATTTGATGTTCTTCGCCTTTTTGGTTTCCACAAACGAATACTTAAATTGTTGTACCGCTCAAAACCGTTCCATATATGGGCGAATTTGAGGAATCTGCAACTGTATTTGCGGAATCCAGAGCAGTTTGTTAAATCCACAAACAAATAATAAGACATGTGTATAGTTACAATGAGCTGTTGCGCAATCCCCAAATTGTAAGTGCAATCCGCTTTTTGTTTGCGGATTCCACTTCAGTTTTGCTTATATTTTGGAATATGTTAAAAGATTTGTCTCTGGAATCCACGAACATACAGACACAAAATTACGCGCCTATCCAGTGCACAGTTTGGCCTCGTATTATGAATACTAGATTCCCCCCCCCCGTAAATATCTTTGTTCACATGATCTTCCAATCTGTACATTTGTCAATCAATAGACGAATTTTGAGCTTTTCAGCTTTTAAAATACCTGGGTATTCATTTTTTGTTCTTTTTAACTTTTTTCACTTTATCGGTTTCAAAGCTTTCGACTTATATTATATCGGTTCTATAGCATCTTTCGGCATCGTATGAGCAAATATTTTTCCTTAGTACGTATGTGTATGTTTTGAAGGAGGGGAGTTTGTATGCTTTGAAGGATAAATTTTGTGAGAAAACATTTTTTCAGCTCCAGGTTTTGAAAAACGTTGCAGCTTTTCCTGGAGTTTAAATCTGACGAAAACTGACGTGAGGCGACAATTCGTAACAAGCGACAATTGGTAATAGTAGAATAAGCAGAGAACACTGATTCACGCGTAGTGTTCCTCTTATGAAGGATGAAAGCGCAGCGGAGCTCAGCGGAGCACCAATGCCTTGGTACAGACTGTCGCCTGTTACGAATTGTCACCTGTGACGCACTGTTGCATGTTACCAAATTTCGCCTCACCAGCAACTGAGCTTGAAGAAAATGCAATTCCGATGAAAAAATAATCCAAAAAAAAATTGCCCGATGAAGAAATAATCCAAAAAAAAACTGGTGAGCTATAAACTGGGGCGCAAGAGTTTTTCACAGAGAACTGAAGCGGTAGCCTGTAAACAAAATTTTGATTTTTTTGACGGCAGTTTCAACGCAGGCAAACTTTGGTTTTCAAGAAAAAATTTTGTTTTTTGGTTTTTTAATGATTTTTTTCAATGCTCTTCTCACCGCGCTTTCCACGATTTTTCTTTGTGTCATTGGATGTGTTATTTTTGCTTAAGCTGTGATGCTGCAATAGAAAATTTCAAGATCTATTGAAAATGATTAAAATCGTCCACATGCGTAGTTTCAAATCTTTTTTTTATTTAAGAAAAAATAATCAAACTTGGAATTTACAGAAAGAGGCCTGGAACACTCTAAAGAGCCTATGAAATGTTTTTGCAAAATAAAACACGTTTTTACTCCCTACTGATCATTAATCTATGCGAGCAAACAAACTAGCTGAAGTATTACCTATGCGAGTAAACAAACCAGCAGAAGTATAAACCAACTAAAAATTCGCATAGTATATCAGCCAGCTAAAAAGTTACATCATATAAATGAAGTTTCCATAACTTTTGTAGCTGTTGCATAATTGTTACATAACTATTATAAAACACTTATGTATTTTTGGCTGGTTGAAATTTCGGCTGGTTTTCATAACGATTTAATCTTTATAGCCTACAAAGAAACATTTTTAAAAAAGATTTCACGTTTTTTTTCTGAAATTAGTGACACATTTGGCCTCTAGTGGCGAAAGTGTCGATCTGCTTTCCCCAAAGTCCACATTCGGGTCACACTGAGATATAGTTTTTTTTGTGACCTTACCAATGACAATCATAGTGATTGGGATGGACAGCAACAGTACCACAGACACTGTGAGAATAACTGAAATAAACAAAACATTTTCAATTATTGCGCTGTTTTGAATTATCAAGAAAAAAGGAACAAAATTTGAAAATTCAAAAGCGTTTTCCTGAAATTGGGCTTTGGGCTAGGATTAAACAAAAAAAATAAAATTAGCTAATTATTTCACCAGATCTAATCCGGTGCAGTTTATTTTGCGGTATTGGGAACCGTATTTGGCGTTTTCTTACCTAATTGAGAGCTACGGTAAGGTTAACCCATTAATTGACAAGAAAACTATATCAAAAGAAGCACGAAAACTCAGCCCAAAAACGTTACATGAAATGTAACATCTCCACAAATTGGGCAAAACGTTTAAAGTTTGTTTTTAAGCAAAGAATTTGAGTTTTGCTTAGTAAAAATGACCTTCTTTCTAATAAAGCAAAAATATATTCTTTCATACAGATTTACCAGATTAGTCTTCTAGAACGTTGCTGGAATGTCAATTGTTGGACGTCAATTTTAATCAACCCCAAAACATTTAAAAAAATATATTTTGCGATTAGAGTTTGCAAATAGTCTGGCTTAGCTAGAATGGAAAGAAACAAAAATTAACGTTATTGAAACTTCCAAAAAAATTGAAACATAGATTATAGTTAAATTCAGTTTTGATTGTTCTGTTTTATAATTACGGACCATTTTGAGAGCGCTTTATCATTCATCTAAACAGACCGAAACTGTGAAAAAGTATCACATATCAAAATAACCATAAAAAAATTGAAAGCAAAATGAAAAAAAAAAGAATGGTCAGAAAGGAGACGCAATGAAAAAGTTTGCTTGTTTAATAATAGAGCCGTTCGAAGCTATTTGAAATTGGACACTTGCACTGAGAAAACTGTTTAGCATTAAATTGAATCGGTGTTCGGAAAGTGAGAATGTATATTTTAGGAAATGAAAAAGATTGTGTAAATCGATATTATATTTAAATTTTGAGATCAGTTTAAGTGTCTAAAAATAGATTTAAGTCGACCTAAATGGATTTTCCTATCCATTAAAACAAATCCGAATCCTACTTAAATCCATCCGATGTTGGCTAACGTTCAATCTATTTCATTTCAAAATACCCCTGAAGAGATCAGTTTTAGTATCAAAAAGTCCATTTCAAATCAATATAATTCAAAGACTTCGCTAAAACTGCAAAAATATGCTTTAGAAATGTTTTTTTTTCCTGAAAGTTTAAAAAAATAAAACGACTTGCAGGATGTTATTGAGATTTAAAAAACGTCAATACAAACCAGATTTAGATCAAAAAAGTAATCAAAATGTAGAAGATCATATTGTAAATCAGATTTTGAGCAAACACCTATGTAACAAATCAAGAAAATTGTCGATGCTAATCAGATTTGGAGATCAAAATTATCAATGAAGTACTAGAAGTTATCATTTGAATGACAGTTTTGAGCAAAACTTAAGAAAAAAACCAAGAAAATGGTTACTTTCACGTGGGTTTTGTGCTCCGAAACCTGTATAACAAATCCAGAAAATGGTCAAAAGAAATCTGATCTATGATACTTTTGTAGCGTGGATAGGGGATAGAAAATGATTGATAAGCGATTAAACTATAAATGCAATGTAAGCTCGAAACAAATATCTAATAACAACGAAATCTTTTCAAATCGATATAAGTTTAAATTAAATACCCTAAAACCAAAGACAAATGAAGACTGAAAAAATCGATTTAAAAATAAAAAAATTCGTTTGGATCAAAGTTAATAGCCTGGATTTAAGATTAACTTTAATTGATTTTAAACTGATTGAAATCAAAGTTAATTTTTTCAATTTTTTCTACATCTTTTGTCAATCTAAAATCGATCTGAATTTAATCTTTTCAGTTTTTTCCAGTAAAATCAATCTTAAATCATTTTGATCAGTGCGCAAAGTTAGAATACTATTTGTCTGAATTGCTTGCAAGGAAATTTTCCCTTTAATTCTGTAACTGTTTTTCAACGCGTTAGTGAGAATCAGTGAAACTTCTTTTAATTACATGCAAATTGCGCGGTGTGAATATTTTTAGAGCACATTGTATAGTAACTTAGATGGCTAACTTAAATGGAAACCTGAAAAAAGCCATGCCCTCTGGGTTAAATTCAATTGAAAACTTACTTGTTTCCATAAGAATTATGATTACTTTCCTGACGAATGAAACCTTGTCCTCGCCCGACTCCCCAAAAATTGAGTTGTAAGACGGAGGTGCGTCAGGACCTAAAATCACCATAATTTTAGTAGGGCTCTTTTTCTTCTTCTCAGCCTACCGGTAGGGGCGGATCTAGGCGGATTTTCGAAATTTTGACCATTTTCTTGAAAAAACAGGCCAAAAAGTTGTTTTTGTAAAACTTTTAACAAAAATTGCGTTTTTTCGGCGCGCGCTTCCCCCTTAAAAATATTTTCGGGTCAGCAGGGAATGCGGATTGAGTAGTCTATGACAAACAAATTTAGTATTGATATTCAACTTTCTAAAACCACTCGTTACACCGTTGAATTCATCTTCAAGTGGGGTGATTATGTGACAGTAAAGTCATAATTTTGTCTGATTTTTTCAAAAGTCCTGTTTAGCAATATATTTCTTCGATTGTATTTCAGTAACCTTCCAACATTCTTATGATGTTTTTTTTCAGGCTGTTTTTCAAATCAATCTTTAAAAATAAATTGTTTTCATAATTTTTTTTATTTAGAGTTTGTCAGGATGCTTGAACAAGTGTTTTTCATCATTGCCAGGAAGATTGGAAAAAATTTGAGCCAATTTTTCGATTCAAGCAGCCAGTGGGAATTGGCTACCCTTGCCCCTTCCTTGCAGCTGATAAACAGCAATGCTATGTGGTATCGACTGGTTGAAACAAATAAGTAAATTTAGATTAAATATATTTGGAATAGCCTAATCAGTTTGTGTTACTTTTTTTTAACAAAGCGAATTTAATTTATGTAAATTCAACCCGTTTTCATATGTGTTGTTTTTCTTAAGCTTCCTGCCACACAAAGTCAGGTATCGCAATGAAATCAAATGACTTTGAATTGTTGTCAAATTACAACCTTTTCATTTTTGATTTGATTTTTACCAAACAAACTTCGAAAAACTTCGAAAAACATCATTGAGAAAAAACGGTGACCAAATTTCCGTGATAAGAAATTTTTCATTGAAATTTTTATCAGGTAGAGCTAGTGAAACTGTTAATTAGTCTCTAAACTGCCCATCTATTGTTCTAGGAACAGTTCAACTTCAAGGCACACAAAAACAACACAGATATAAAAGAAAGATTAAAGAAAGCAACCATACCTTCATCTTCCTGGTACTGCGGCAGCCCTTCTTCTTGATAGCCAGCATTGATACTTTGATAATTCTATCAAAAGGAAACAAAAAGTTTACTTGAAACAATCACTTTTCTCCAAAGGGCGAAAATTACCGATTAAATATACACCCGAGCAAGTAAAAGAATCTTATTACGATCTTTTGCTGAAATGGATCAGTTTAGATAGGTAGAAACTTTTAAAGTCTAATCAAATTATGACAATCTTAATTTCACAAATTCTTGAAACAAGGATTGCTATCGCGCATCGGTTTAATTAATTATAATATAATTTTTCATCTTTTCAAAATTTAGAGGAAATAAGATTGTTATTTCCAAAAAATCTAGCTCTAAATTAGCACAGATATGCGCCATCAAAAATTGAAATCGGTTCCTGGGCAATATAGACACAATTGTACAAAGTGATATATGTTCTGTTAAATGACTGTTTTGGATACATGTATTTTGATAACCGCGTGCCTGAAACACATTTTTTCTGAGGAAAACAGAACCTTTTTTGCCTAGCTGCGAAATATTTTAGCATCCTTGAGCCCATGAAAACTAGAAAAATTTGATCTCGTATTTATTGATTAAATAAAAACAGCCAAAATGACCCATTTTTGGGGTGAAATTTTGGTTGAGAATTTCGGAGCAAAAAATGCACCATAATAATTCTGACCAAATTCTAAGCAACTTTTGTTCTCTTCACTTTTTGTCTAACCTTAACCCAATTTGAGAAAAAGGTGTTTGAAAATTCAAGTTTTGTTCGTTTTGTCCGGATAATTTAAATCAGCACTGTATTTGGGATATTCCCACAAATAAGTTCAGTCCCTATCAAAAAAACTGCAAAAGTATAGATAGTTGCAAAAAGTTCGGACAGATAAAAATAATTAAAAAGAGCAACTGTCTAGACATCAACGGAAACTAAAATTGAAATTAACATAACGTCGAAATTTCTTAAAGCAGATTTACGGGATCTTCTTAACAAATCCTCTTTTAGGAAAGAGGAGGAGATCGTTAATAAGATTACCTGCAGCGAACTTTCGACCAATCAGAATGCAGCAAAATCAGAATTTACACACAAAGCTCTTGTGCGAATTTATGTTTTTAATTTCAGGGGTGGAGATTCTTTAGCAGATACAATAAGGGGGGTTGTTAAGTAGATCTGAGTTTCGACAACACAACGACAACACCACTAGATGACAACCGATCTACACAATCTACAACCCAACAATCTGATGTACAAGAGCTTCTCTACACTGCCTTCACTACACCCAAGGAAACAACTGCCCCAGGAAAGCACTCTTTTTCAAGAGTCATAAGTCGGCCGATAAAGCCTGTATAAAGGTGCTATTGGAACCAAGTCCCAAACCGGCACTTGCAAACCCAACGGTGCGCAGCCAACCTGGGTTCTGACTTGGATCGGTCGCAGTCCTGATTGGCTTTTTGTCCCTCCGAGAGAGTGTCACGAACGCAGATCTAGAAGTTGGTTGGTCCCTATAACACCCTAGTCTAAGCGACACATTGCGAAAGCGGTGCTAGCATTCTAGGAGACAGAGATACGTTGCGACCGGGTCTGCAATTGCTTACTTGGACAACCTCTACTCTGTCGTTATTGTTGGACCTACCAAGAGTAACCCGACGGAAGAGGGTCTAGAGGGAAGGAGAAAGTGCCCAGAAGGACGAAGAGGGTGCAAGAAGAAAGAGACTAGAGGGAAGAGGAAGGACAAAGAGGAAGAAAGGAAGGAAAAAGAGGAAGAAAGGAAGGACAAAGACGAAGAAGGTGCAAGAAGGAGCAGTCGGGCTCACATAGTGAGTGAAGATACTCCCCCCCCCCCCCCACAAGAGCAGTCCGGCTCACATAGTGAGTGAAGAAGGAGCACTCCGGTGCAAGAAGGAGCAGTCCGGCTCACATAGTGAGTGAAGAGACTCCCCCCCCCCCCACAATGCCATCATCCCTTAACTCCCAAATGGCATCAGCAATCGCAAACTACGACCAAAGCGACGACGAATCTAATTCCGAGTTAATAATCGAAGGAAGCCTGACACCAACAAGCAATGATCAAGGAAAGGCCTCGCCTCAAAGGCAACTGACAATGGGACCAAACCAAGATCAACATGCTGCTTACAACACAGTAAAACGACAACAGTTCAAGAATGTGCCCAAAGGGCAACCGACAATGCATTCAGAAAACTGGCAAGACAATCTTGATGACGCTTCGCCTAAAAGGCAACCGACAATGGAGCAAAGTCAAGCAACTAATCGAAAACGCAAAGCGGAAGAATCACAAGCTCAAAGCAACAAAAGACCCTTCACAAGCTCAAAGCAACACTTCACGAACATTATCTACATAAGCTTTGCAAAAGACAAAATTCCAAGCCGAATGACTTTCACCAAATCAATACGTAACCTGACTAAAGTACAATATCCTGGTCAAACCAGGGACCTCAAGACTGGCCTAGGCTATTCAATCAAGCCTGAATCGCCTCAAATAGCCCAAATTATCACCCAAACCAACCTCGAAAACCTGTTTCCCGACACGGAAGTAAAAATCGGAGGCAGACAACACAAGACAAATCAACCCAACAAGAAACAAACTTCCAGCTTTGTTATCTCAAGAGTCAGTGAACAACTCAGCGAAGCTGACATCCAATCTGAACTTGAGGAGATCAACAACATCAAGGTAGCAAAGCTCTTCCGAATCCAAAGCAGAAGCCTAGACAAGCCAACACAACTCATCAGAGTTTTCACAGATGATGACCTAGCCTGCAGAAAGGCAATCGACATTGGGGTCTACATCTGCAACGAACGAAAACGATGCGAAGCATCCAAAACAGAACCACGAGTAACACAGTGTTACAAATGCCAAAATTTCGGCCATATGGCCGTAAACTGTCCGAACCAGCAACGATGCCTCAGATGTGGCGACAACCATGCAGTCAGAGACTGCAAAACTCCAAAGCAGCAAGTTCAATGCATCAACTGCAGAGGCGAACACCCGGCGCAGTACAAAGGATGCCCGGTTTACAAGACAGCTCAAGTCGAAGCCCAAAAAGCACAACCAAAAGTGCAAAACTACGCTCAAGCAGTCAAACATCTGCAACGAACTGTGCAAAACAACTACGCTCAAGCAGTCAAACCACAACCAACCATGAGCAAAGAGGACATACAGCAGTACATTAAAGAAACTGTTGAAACTACAATAGCCGATCAAGTCGAAAAAGCAGTGCAAAAAGCCATGGACGAAAAGATAACCGATGCAATCACCAAAGCTGTCGCTAAATCATGTGAGAAAATTAACGAAACAGTCAGCAATGCAGTTAGAACTCAATTCGAGAAAATAGATTTCACTGAGCTGTTAACATCAAACATAAAAGCAAAACAAAATACAAAAACACACAGAGAAGCAAGCAGCAGCAGACATAGTAGCTCCCGAAATCAAAACAACAACAACAAACCAAAATGAATAGACTCAAGATAGCACAACTCAACTGCAGAAGTATAAACAAGCACAAACTGGAGATCCAAGATCTTCTAGCGAAACACAACATCACTATAGTCTGCTTCAACGAAACAAAAACCAAACATCCACCAAAACTACAAAACTTTAACCTTGCAGCGGCAATCTGTGACAGTGTCACAGGCTCGGCAATTTACATCAGAGACAACATACAGTACCAAGTACTGGAACAAGCACAGCACATAAACCAAAACCACAGAGAACGCAGAAAAGTATGCGAGACGATCAAGATCAACACAATGGGTATCACTGTAACAAGTGTTTACCTTAGCCCAAACGCAGAGATAGAGAACGTGACTTTCAATGGAAAAGATCCAAAGCACATCATCGTTGGAGACTTCAACGCACAGATCAAATCTGTCAACCCAAAAGCAAGAGCAACCAACAGCAACGGAAGAGTTGTAGACGCTCTCATGCACAACTACTTCATCTTGAACGGTTCCGAACCAACACACCAAAGTGACTCAGTCCTAGACTTACACTTTGCATCACCAAAAATGGCTTGCTTATGCACGAACTTTGAAGTGTCGGACACAACACCAAGCGATCACTACATGACAATTGCAGAGTACGAACTAACTGTTCCAAAGAGAACATGCACAAAACCAAACTGGCGAAAATTCAGAGGTACTGTAACGAACTACAAGTTCAACCCTGACTCAATCAAAACTGACGAAGGTCTAGCTCGAGAAGCTGACCAGATAGCCAAACACATTGACAAATGCTACCAAGGCAGCCTCAAAGAACACAAGCCCCAATTCACGAACCCACAACTAGTCGAACTAGTCAGAAACAAACACAAACTTGAACGACAAAAACAAAAAATGAGACGATATGACCAACACGACACCAATGACTACAAAGACCTGTGTACAAAGCTAAACAAAACAAAGAAAGACATCAGACAGCTAAAACAGACAGTAGAAGAAGAAAACCAACTCAAACTACTCAGTGAAATGAACAAAGGACCAACACAACAGAATTTCTGGAAAGCAGTAAAAAAGCTCACAGGCACAAGACCTAAACGAACGAGTAAACTGAAAATGACAAATCAAGACGCTGCGAACCACTTCGCTAAGATGCTCAAAGCAAACATGACGACAAATATAACAAACTCTCAGGCAGCTCTAACGCATGAACAGGAAGTACATGACAAGGTGTCACAGGCGAAAATCCAAGACTTTCAACTGGAACAGACAGGTTTTGCACAAACAGAAATTAGCTTAAAGCAACTCAAAGACGTGATCAATCACAGAAAAAACACTGCCCCAGGACAAGACAAAGTTAGCTACAAAGCGATGAAAAACCTGCCCATCAACGTACTAGAAGTACTAAGACAAATCATAGTACAATCGCTGAGAAGTGGCTACGTTCCTTTAGGCTGGAAACAAGCGACAGTATCAATGTTACCAAAACCCGAGAAAGACCACAAAGATCCCAAAAACTATAGACCACTCTCACTTACAAGCTGTATCGGGAAGATCTGCGAATGTTTTGTCAAAGAGCAGCTACTAGTACACTGCGAAGATCACGACATCTTCGGACACTTTCAAAGTGCATACCGAAGCAAACGATGCACCACCGACAATTTACTCTGTCTAACAGAGACAATCTATAAAGAGAATAACTGGAAGCAACCCGTTGCAGCAGCATTTCTAGACGTGCAACGAGCCTTTGACTCTGTCTGGCACGAAGGCTTATACTACAGACTACTAGAGATCAACTGTCCGAAGTGGATTGTAAAATGGACCAAGAGTTTTCTGACAGACCGACAGTTAACAGTAGTATACCACCAAGCCAAAGCCGAAAGTTTCACACCCAGTGCAGGAGTACCACAAGGAAGTGTAATCAGTCCAATCCTTTTCAACATCTATGTAAGCAAACCAGAAGCAGGTCTAACAACAATATCACAATATGCCGACGACATAGCAATTTACACAAGTTCAAACACAAGCAAGAATGCAACACACAGACTACAAGGTGGCCTAAACAAACTTGAAGCATGGTGCCAGAAATGGAAGATAGACGTGAACCCGGAGAAGACAAACTTTGTACTTTTTACAAGACGCAAGAAGAATGACTGCAAATTAATGCTACAGAACGAAGAGATCGAACCATCAACAACCACTAAATTTCTTGGAGTTACCCTAAATAACAACCTGACATGGAAAGACTATCTACAAAGAATTGAAGACAAATCGACAAGGAAAATCAATTTTCTACTAGTACTACGAGCCAAAGGCATCAAATCCAAAGTCTTAAAGTTTTTGTACCAATCAACAATTCTACCAGGATTCACATACGCATCACCTTCGTGGGCAAACGCATCAACAAGTCACTTACAAAGATTGCAGAACAGAGCACTAAAAATAGCCTACCATCTACCAATACTAACACCAACAGAGGAAGTACATAAAATCACCAGGATGAAGACGATTCAAGATGAACTAACAAGACTAAACTCACATTACCTCAAAAGAGCTTCACAGACAAACCCCAAGATACAAGAACTAATCCGAGACACTCTACAACAATCAACAGACACATACGCACACAGACTCACACCAATACAAGCAATTTTCCAACAACACCTTTCCGCAAGATGAACAACATCAAACGACACTCTACAACAATCAACAGACACAGACTCACACCAATACAAGCAATTTTCCAACAACAACTTTCCGCAAGATGAACAACACCCGGAAGTTAACAGCTTAAAGAGCAGCAGGTCTGCTTCAGAAGCTTAACTGGTCACAGACCAACACATACTTACATTAAGTAGATCTGAGTTTCGCTCAAAACCTATAACCACTGCGGGCAATTGCATCCAAAGCGTCGAAATGTTTTATGGTAAAATCTGGACAGTCATAGCAGTATTTAAGAATTAGGCTAGCATAATCATCGGATAATCTACTATCTCGCATTTTGAATTTGGTCTGAAAAAAATTCATGGTTGTTTGGCTTCAGATTTTGCATGCAAAAAAGCGTCGAAAAACACTGATTGCTCATTTTAATTAATTCTGTCTGTCCGAACTTTTTGCTACTAATTATAGCAAAAAACTGCAATAAGTAGCAAAAAAAGTGGAACTGGAAATAATTAAAAAGAGCATTTCTTGCATGCAAATTTGAGTTTTAGAGTGAACTTGAGTCTTATTTTCTGTCTGAAAACTAACTTTTGCTTGCAAACGTTTTCTGAATTAGGTCAATTGCTCTCTTTATTAGTTCTGTCTGTTCCAAGTTCTTGCAACTCTCTATATTCAATGAACACGACTAATCGTATCACTTTTGGACAACTTTTTTGTTTTTATCTGAAACTGTTTTCCATTTGAAACAATTGTTGTTGAAGAAAGTTTTTGATCAGTCACCACGAGCTGCATTAAGTAAAAATAGTGTATTTCGGTTAATCATTATAGTAAATAGACTAAATACAACCGGTGCCCGTACCCATGGGATTTTCTATGCAAGATCTGAAACTCTCTTATTCTTTTATTAGTTGATTCTCAGATCTGAAACTCTTTAGTTCAGGTCTTGATAAAAACTAACAAATTTCAGATCTAAAATTTGAATCTGCAATGAAAAATTTTAGATCTGATAAATCCTTTGTGAGGTTAAAATTTATGCATTTCGAGCAAAACATGTAGTTTTTTTTGATGTTTCTGCTATACACAGTTATGTTTAGGTTAGCTAGAGGTCAAAAAAACTTCCGAAATTTTTCACAAATAGTGTTTTGAACTTAATTTCTTGTTCAACTGTGTTGAAGACCTCTATTTTTTTTGTTTTTCATGCATTTCATGCATTTTCTACTTATGCATTTCCAATGTTCATCTCATGCTTGAGGAAACATAATTCGACAGTCTCCTACTTGAGACTTCGCTATGTACCTTCTAGTAGCTACCAGAAACTAGAAAAAAATCAAAAATAGCAAAAATTGAGTCCGAATCATTGAGATTTCAGATCTGAAATAACCAAGAAAAAAATTTCAGACCTGAAATTAGATCCAAAATAACCAATCCTTCAAGTATGCAAGCGTCATTTAAACATTTCACAACCTATTTCAGATCTGAAATTTAGATCTGAAAATTTTTATTTCAGATCTGTTAGAAAATTTACTGGGTGCGGGTGCTTTTACAAAACATTCCCATATGAAACAGTCCAGAAAATCATAAGTTGAAGCAAAATACAGTCTGATACAAAGCAGTTTGGTTTGAAGTCGCCTGTTCTATTTTTCGTATAGAGGCCGCAATACGCGCGCATTGTTTTATTGTTTATGTTTTTTAAACAAAGGACAATTCTCGGCCTACTGGCTTTATAAAGCAACAATTTCTTAATTTTCGGAACGTTTTGTATTAGACTGTTTTTTCGTTCATTGTCATATTTTTCCGGACTGCTTTGTTTTGGAATGTTTTCAATGGGACTGTTTTGTACAGAAACGAAATAGCGTGCCTGAATTCAAGCTGAATCAATTTTAAAACCTAACAAGTCTGTTCGTATAAACAGGGCAAAGTCCTGAATGTTTCGACTGCATTTTAAACCAATTTGAAATATTTTGTTTGGTTGAATTGATGACAAATTAATTGGAAAAAAAGCTCAAATTTGCCTCTAAAATGCTTCTTACGCGCGTCATAAGTACTCAATATGTTGTTTTTTTTACCCAATTTGGCAAAATTACTAATTTGCAAACGCCTTCACTTCTACAATAAAAGATCACAAGTACAATATCTTTTTAAATTTGAGCTTAGGATAACATTATTTCTCAGATTGTATAAAAAATTTTGTCAAAAACACGTAGGTAAGAAGACAAAAGTTGACTGATTAAAAAAACACCAAGCATAAATATGTATATCCTATTTGGCCTTTCAAACACAAACTGAACAAAAATGAATCAGTGAGAAATGTGTTTTTCAGTTTGAGAAATGTCTTTTTTCTTGCGCAGTGGTGTGTTTATACTGACCTCCCGGTTTGACCAAAAGTGCTTAGTATATACTTTTCAAATATGAAAAAATGCTTATCATTCAGTTTTGTACAATTCCATAGAAACGACCAATGTTAAGAAAACTAAGATAAGCTTTTTTAATATTTTTATTTCTCAAATTTTTGGTATGTGTTCGTGATCAAACACCAGCGACTAAAACCTTGGTTTACTCAAAACTAGGGTCAACAAAGGTTTGATCGTCTAGCATTTAAAAATGCTTTGGAAACGACCTGAAGATTTCAGAGATGATTATTTTTGAAGTTAAAATTTTCAAGTTATCAGACATTGATCAAGGCATATATAAAATGCCATACAGAAGAACTAGGAGTATTTAGCCAGTTTGAAGAAAAGTATCGAGAAAAACGGGAAAAATCCAATTTTTTTGTGTATCCAGGACTACGTTATGCAGACAAAATAAAACAAAATTTGCAAGCAACATTTTTTTTTGAAAACATTACTTTGAGTACAAAATTTAATTTGAAAAAAGAACAAAAAAAAATTGGGGCAATTACTTGGAAATAAATTTTGTTATCTCCATCAAGAAAATTTTCATATATAGAAATTGTATAATAACCATTTTTTTCTGAAAAAAGTAACATAGTTTTTTTTATCAGCACACTGTTTCATTTGGTTCAAATAGCGGCAGAAACTAATTCGAATTTTTTCAATGACTTTTTAATGAAAATGTATGAAAATTGTATGACTAGCATTTTCCAAAAATTTGATGTATGGAATTGTATGATACGCATTTTTGGTGTATGGAGGTCAACTTGGGCTAACTGCGTTTATAAAGTCTATGCTAGGAGGTTCATCTCGCACTTAAAAAAGTTCAAAAATGAATTGAGGCAAGCTAATTAGTCAGAAAATTTTACTTACAGCGACTTAAAGGTTAGTATTTGGTACAGGCAGGCAAAATTTTTTCATTATGAGGCCAAGCTGTGTGTATTTTGTTAATTATGAGCGGAATCCGTAAAAGGACGCTTTCTTTGACCTTTCTTTGTTGTTTCGTTTTCATTGATCGTTTCGACAAAAACTTCAATTGTTTAAATTAGTTCCAGAGACCTACACACACTAAATTATACAACTATCTAGTGGACAAATTAGCCTCGTAGCGTTCTTAGTTTATGTAAATTTTATTCAACAATAAAAAATTCAGACCAATTTAAAGGCAGTCCGAGTTTTGAAAAATATTTAAGCTGATAAACGAGCGCAGTTTTGTTTTTTATCCTTTTCTTACTCTTTTTACAATCATTCAAATTTGCAAAATATTTCTTACCATCATTTCCATTTTTTCACGTCTTTGGTTGAAATAAAGCAACGGCAGATTACATAAATAAAGAAATGGACTACAAATTGATTAGTTGAACAACTAATAGAAAAATAGTTTAAGCTAGATTGTATCCCGTTCTTGTGTCAACGTTTTCGCTAACTATGATTAATAATTTTTCTATATGTAATGTCTTTGCGAATCAGAGACAGTAGTGATAGTATGTATACATGATCAACAGAACGATTTTTTTTCGTTTTGAGCAATTTAAAGCGATGACGCTTGTTTTGAATATGAAAAATGTAACATATAGTGTGAGAAGTATTATTAACACAGCAAATGCACCATTTTACTTACGTGGCTGTAAAGCTTTACGTTTATGAAATTATGCGGACAAATCTTAATGTTACATGTATCTTGCATAACAAAACTGAACCGATTTTCTCGAATAGTTTTCTACTTATTGTCAATTTTCCGAACACTTTCTCATTTGACGTTCGTTCTCATTTCAAATTAGGTCCGCCTCATAGGAGTATGACGACACTTTAATTTGAAGAAGTTTCAGTTTTTATTAAGTTTTTTCATTAATGAGAATTTAAACTGAATTTGTGACTGTCACTGAATTTCTAAGTTTGATAAACTGGTTTAGTTTGAGCCTTTTTCTTAGATAGTTTATCGCCATGGATCGAGGTTCCAGACTCACTTCCAGACAAAACTTTGCCATGTCCAGACTTTCCAGACCAAAATTAGACATGTCCTGACTTTGGCGACCAAAACCTGGCATTTCCAAACTTTTGCGACCATGATGATCAGTCGCGACTATCGCGACCGAAGCGGAGGTGGCGCAACCAAAACATCGCGAACCATATTTGGTATGTCCAGACTCGGTATTTGGTATGTCGCGACCAAGAGTTGCCAATTCCAGACTTTCGCAACCAAAATGTTAAGGTACGACTTTTGCGACCGAGGCGGATACGGCGCGACCCTGCGTCTCAGGAAACTGCGTGATCGGCGCGACCAAACTTAGGCATTTCCAGACTTTCCAGAGCTAGATAGAGACAGCGCTACTTTCCAGACCAACATGAGGACTTAAAAACTTTTTTTCAGGGCTTTCTCGACCGAGGTGGAGACGGCGCCACCCTGCGTCTCAGGAAACTGCGTGATCGGCGCAACCAAACTTAGCCATTTCCAGACTTTCCACAGCTAGATGGAGACAGCGCTACTTTCCAGACCAACATGGGGACTTTGAAAAAAGTTTTTAAGGGCTTTCTCGACCAAAGTGGATACGCGCGACTCATAAAGCAACGGCGCGACCGTCTGGGCCAGCGCGACCAAATAGTGCACTTTCAAGACTTTCAAGACAGAGGTGGAGAAGGCGCGATTTTCCAGACCGAGTCCGAGACGATACGACCAAAAATCATTTCATCGCGACCGTAGTGGAAGCGCCACGACTTTCGCGTTCAGAGTGGAGACGGCGCGACTTTCCAGACCATGGCGGAGACGACGCGACTTTTCAGACCAAGGCGGAGACGGCGCAAATTTTCAGACCTATGCTGAGACGACGCGAGTAAGAGACAGTTCTTTGCGACCGTGGTGGATGCGGCGCGACTCTAGCAATCAGAGTGGAGACAACCCATACCACGGTGCATACAACGGGATTTTCCAGAACAAGGCGGAGACGGCGCGACTCTCCGGACTGAGGCGGAGATGGCGCGACCAAGAATTATTTCCTCGCAACCAAGGCGAAGATGACGCGACTTTTCAGACCAAAGCGGAGAGGACGCTACTTTCCAAACCATCGCGGAGACGGCGTGACCAAGAATTTATTCCTCGCAGCCAAGGCGGAGACGGCGCGACTTTCTAGACCAAGGCGGAGACGGCGCGACTTTTCAGACCAAGGCGGAGACGGAGCGACTTTCCAGATCGAGGCGGAGACGGCGCGACCAAGAATTCATTCCTCGCGACCAAGACGGATACGGCGCAACTTTCTAGACCAGAGCGGAGACGGCGCGACTTTACAGACCAAGGCGGAGACGGAGCGACTTTTCAGACCAAGGTGGAGACGGCGCAAATTTTCAGACCTAGGCTGAGACGGCGTGAGTAAGAGACAGTTCTTTGCCACCGTGGTGGATGCGGCGCGACTTTAGCAATCAGAGTGGAGACAACACATACCACGGTGCATACAGCGGGACTTTCCAGAACAAGGCGGAGACGGCGCGACTCTCCGGACTGAGGCGGAGATGGCGCGACCAAGAATCATTTCCTCGCGACCAAGGCGAAGACGACGCGACTTTACAGACCAAAGTGGAGACGGCCCGACTTTTCAGACCAAGGCGGAGAGGACGCTACTTTTCAGACCAAGGCGGAGAAGGAGCCAATTTCCAGATCGAGGCGGAGACGGCGCGACCATGAATAAATTCCTCGCGACTGAGGTCGATACGGTGCGATTTTCTAGACCAAGGCGGAGACGGCGCGATTTTTCAGACCAGAGCGCAGAAGGCGCTACTTTCCAGACCATCGCGGAGACGGCGCGAACAAGAATTAATTCTTTGCGAGCAAGGCGGAGACTGCGCGACTTTCCAGACCAAGGCGGAGACGGCGCGACTTTTCAGACCAAGGTGGAGACGGATCGACTTTCCAGACCAAGGCGGAGACGGCAGGACTAGAAAAAATTCTTTGCTACCATGGTGGACGCGGCGCGACTTAACCAATTTGAGTGGAGTTATCCCAGACCACGGTGCATATGGCGCAACTTTCCAGAACAAGGCGGAGACGGCGCGACTTTTCAGATCAAGGCGGAGAGGGCGCGAATTTCCAGACCATCACGGAAACGGCGCGACCAAGAATGAATTCCTCGCGACCAAGGCGGAGACGACGCGACTTTCCAGACCAAAGCGGAGACGGTGCAACTTTTTAGACCAATAATGAAACGGTGCAGTTTTTCAGACCGAAGCGGAGGTGGCGCGACTAAGGTTATATTTTTTGCGACTGAGGTGGATACGGTGCGACTTTCCAGTTCAGAGTGGAGACGGCATGACTTTCCCGACTAAGGCAGAAACGGCGCAATTTTCCAGGCCGAGGCGGAGACGGCGCAACCAAGAACTAATTCTTCGCCACCGTGGTCGATGTGGCGCAAATTTAGCGATCAGAGTGTAGAGACGGCCCAGACCAAGGCGAATAGGCTCGACTTTCCAGACCAAGGCTGAGACGGCGCACCCAAGAACTAATATTCGCCATCGTGGTGGATGTGGCGCAAATTTAGCGATCAGAGTGTAGAGACGGCCCAGACCAAGGCGAATAGGCGCGATTTTTCAGACCAAGGCGCAGACGGCATAACTTTCCAGGCCAAGACGGAGACGACGCGACCAAGAATCAATTCCTCGCGACCGAGGTGGAGACGCCTAACTCTCCATACCAAGGCGGATGCTGCAAAACAAAGAGCTGTCAAAACTGCGTAGATTTTTTCTTCTACTCAACATGTCAATTTGAAATTATTTCTAGATATAGTTTCAATTTACTTAGAATAGTTTACATGTTCTGTGAGGACTTTTAGGGAAAAAAGACAACTGAATGCTGAAATCTTAAAAAATCACCTACTTTCATCATTTTTCTATGAATTTACTTTCGTTCCAGATTTAAAGGAAACTCCCAAGTTCTGTTTCTCTAAGAAAAAATTGATAAATCGATGAAAAAATCAATAAGAAAAACTTTCTCTCAAAATATTTCAAAATCGTCAAAACAATTTTAGTTTTTAAGTCATTTTTTCCTTGTTTTTTAATTTCAAAAATTATTTTACTAAATTTCCAACAACTAGAGGCTATTAGGCCTTGTTTTTATTCAAAAAAAAACACCGAGCATGATCTATCCACCAAATAAATAGAATTATCAATTTTTTCAGAAAAAGTAAAAAAGGCAATTACTTCAAACTAACCGCCAAAACGCAGTTTTTTGGATACCCGAAAAATGGATAACTGTTGAAACAATTCTCGTTAATTTTTTTAAATCTAATAGTTTCAAAAACTACTTTTTGAGAGGATTCCAAATAAGAGACTAGATAATTTCATGCTGAAACCTCAAGAAAATCACTTTTTTTTCTCGATTTTTTTCTGATTTTTTTTATTCCGGAAAAGTAGCAACATATGTTTTTCTGAAGTAAAGCATAGCAAATATCAACCTAAATCAAGAGAAAACAGACTCAAAATTTTTTCAGTCCGCTTCAAAATCGGCCAAACCTTTTTTAGTTTTCAAGTCAAATTTGTCCTTTTTATTGAATTTCAAAAATGCATTAAATAAATTCTCAAGGTTGAATACTCAAAATCTCAATTAGAAGTTGATAGGAAAGGTTTCATATTTTAATAAAAATTACAGAGCATGATCTGTCGAATTTTATGTACAGAATTTTGAATTCTATCGGAAAATGTAGAAAAAAAAGTTTGCAATTATTTCAATTAACCGCCAAAACGCTGCTTTTTGGATAAACGACAAAACGGATAACTGTTCAAATAATTCTCATTGATTTGCTTATCCGCTTACTAAAATTTAATCAAAACTTATTCTTTAAAAGGATTCCAAATGTGTATAATGCTGAATATATTTTTCTTAGAAAAGCGAAGAAGCTAGAAAACTAGAAAATTTCATGCCGAAAATTCGAAAAATCACCTTTTTTCTTTTTTTTAATTCTTAAGGTAGCAAATTTTTTCTTTTTGAAGTAACAATCAACAAATATCAACCTAATGCACGAAAAAAATGAATCAAAATTTCTTAAGAATACTTCAAAATCGGTCAACATTTTTTATGTTTTCAAGTCATTTTTTTTCCTCTTTTTTTCATATCGAAATTTCATAAAATAATTTCTCAACGACGGGAAATTGTTAAAAAATTTTCTATACCCACAAAAACCCTGTATAATTCTTTGGAGCCGTATGCATAACATTATAAATCTCTTTTGGAATTTTTTTTTGCATTTTTTCCAAGTAAACGCCAAAAACGCTAACTTTTGGAGAACCGACAAAACGGAGAACTGTTTAAATAACTCTCAATGATTCGCTTTTCGTGTAAGTTATTCAAAATTGTTTTCTTAAAGATGATTCCAAATATGTATAGTACTTGATATCTTTTCTTAGAAAATCCAAGAAACTAGAAAATTTCATGCTGAAATATCGAAAAAATCAAACTTTTTCAGTTATTTTTCTGAATTTTTTTTTCATTCCGGACTTAAAGTCGCAATTGATCTTTCTCTGAAAAAACAATCAAGAAATATTAACCTAATTCTTGAAAAATGAGAATCAAAAACTCTTCAAACTACTTCAAAATCCGTCAAAATTTTTTTAGTTTTCAAGTCAATTT